CCAAAGAGAGCCGTCCTCCGTCCCACCACTGTGGTTCATTCAAGGGCAATCCTCTTCTCCTCCATGGAACCCGCCCTCCACCGAGGGTGCTGAGGCTGTTGAAGGTCTTTACTCCTGCTGCTGGGATGGGAGGAGGGATAATGTATTTGTGGCAGGCCGTGAGCAAGAGAGGGTGTTCTGTAGAGAGTGGACTAAATTGACGGTCAGGCCCAACTGGAAAAACAGTCTGCCCGCTTCTGTGGACTAATCTGGGAACCTGGGGTTCCTAAGGAAAATGCAACTGAAATTCCAAACGCCTCGTTTACAAACAAACCTTGAGACTCAGGTTGTTTGTGTCCTTTTCTCAAAGACATTTCCATGGCAAGCCCTGCTGTCCAGCCTGGCCCTCCTGGCCTGTCTTTTGGGGCAAAACCACCAGGCAGCATCAGGCAGAGGACCCCTGTGTTAGGAAAGTTGTCTGAGCTTCCCTGGGGGCAAGGAGGTGGGGTGCTATGAGAGAACCCTGCCCTGCCTCCAGTTCTGCCCCCAACAGGCACACGAGGTGGGGTGTGGAATACTGCCTGGGGTGGTGCCAGGCAGGGTCAGGCACCCGAGGGGTCAGGCTGGGCCTGGGCACTCAGGCTGGGAGGGAGCTAAATGCCATCCAGGCTTGGGGTGTTCCAGCTGCTCTTGGGCCCCCCGGGGACTGCAGAGCTGTGGAGGAGGGAGGAGCCCAGGGTCAGGGCTGCAGCCCCACAGCAGGAGACTTCCCATCTGCTTTCAAAGTGCGTTTCCACCATACATTGCATTTAAAGGAAGGTCTCTGCGACTAGGAATCCAGCTGGTCCCTCAGCGAGCAGCTGGTGGGAAATGGGCTGGTAAGAGGGGAGCGACTTGCCGGATATCCACAGACCCACGCTGCTAGCTGGCTCAAAGCTGGGGCGTGAGCACATTTTCCTGATGCTCGTGTAAGGCTTTACCACTCACCCCACACTGCCTGCAGCTGGTCAGATTAGGTGACGTCTTCTTGCTCTGCCATGGGCACTCGGATGCTTTAGGTGGGGCTGCAGCCCCGCTCCAGATGGGAAAACAAAAGGACAAGGTGAACTCTTCCTTGCCCTCCAAAGTGAAATTTCAAGTCAATCCCTTAGCCTTGCTCTTCTAAAAAAGAAGAAAACGTATCAATTATACATATTTACGGTGATATAGAGATCATTGTATAGGTAGGTGTATGTAATAGGTTTACGTATATATGTGTATTATTATTTGACTGGGCCTTGTAGGCAGATGATACAATATCCAGAAGGCAGAGGTGCACGCGGTGAAAGCAGGGCTCCCCCCCGACTGTGCGCAGCCCCCCAGGCCCCCCCCTCGCCCCCCCAGTTTCCTCTGGACCCTGTCAAGGATTGTCACGCTCATTCCATTTGGCCCTCTTGATCCGTGTGAATGTTACTCTCAGTATTGTTATTAAATATACACGATGATGGAAGGGGAGTGAGCAGGCTGACTGGCTGGGGAAGGGCCTGCCCGACTCAGCGCGTCGTTGGGGGCTGGCCTAGGTGTGAAGGCCTGTCCCCTCCCCAGGTGTGAGCTCCGGCGGCCTCCGTCCTGGCCTCTGCTGTCTCCTGGGGGAATGACTCTGGCTCTCCTCAGATCTTAGTCTCCCGCACTAGCAAGTGAAGGCCGTGGGTGAGATGCTCTTGAGGATTCCTTTTAGCTTCAGTTTCCATGATCCTATTATCTACTTCATGTCCCGTTTCCCCACTTAAAGAAATTAAGAAATAGGGCAGCATGGAAGATAATAGCTCATTTATGTCCTGAAGGATTTCAAAGGCATTTACAGATTGTAAGCAAAACGGAGCTAAAATTCGGCTAAAGTTAGTCTGCCAAAGGCAACTCCCGCCCGCCCCTCCCAACTCAAACATGGAGGGTACAGTGAGGAGGCCCAGGCTCCAGGCTTGGGAGCAGGTCCAAGGTGACAAGGGGGTCAGAGGTGGTGGCTTCCCACTCCAAGGCCAGTCTTTTCTCCGCCAGGCCATGCAGTGGGCTCCAGTAGGCCCTTGGGATGGATTCTCAAAGAGGCCAGGTTTTCCTTTCAAGGTTTTGCGAGAAAGTTGGTTTCCATTGAAGATTCCTTAGGCCTGGGTTTACTCTATGAGGGCCAGCTGGGCAAGTTCCTCAGGGCACTCCTGAAAGGAACAAGAGACTTTCCACAAGATGCTTGCCTTCCAGGAGTGGGTGGGGGAGCGGGGTGTGGGTGGACAGATCCCACAGGCCCCCTGGAGTCTCGCCCACTCATAGGCAATGCCTCTAATTCCATCCTGGATATCCTCCTTGTGACTCATGTCTGTTCTGGAAAACCCTGAAGAGCAGCATAGAAGCCACGCAAATAGATGGTGGCACAACCACATTCCGGTCTTTGAACTAGTGAAAGCTTCAAAGCCTTGTCACAGACACGGGGTAACTCCACCTCGGCCAATGAAACTTTGGAACCTGCTTCTGTGAACAAACAAGAGGGATCTGTGATAACCACACCAAGTTCAAGTGTGCTTAAGTAGGTGTGTTCAAAGTGCTTGACAAGTCTTTCTTTTCAGCAGTCCCCTCAGGGCCTTTCCTTTTGCTTACAGAGGCACATCAGACCCAAGCCGAAAGGACTTTGGAGAAGGGTTCACTCAGCTCCTCCATTTTGCAGAGGTGGAGACTGAGACTCGAAGGGCAAGAATCACAGGACTAGACAGTGGTACAGGGCAGGCCAGACCCCAGGGCTCTTGTGTCGAGCTCTTTCCACACCTGCAGAGAGAATGTCGAGTCAGAGCCAGGCCGCCTCTATGGTACAGAATGGAAACTCGCAATGGTGGGGGTTCTGCCTGACTTGCTCACAGCTGTCTCCCTGGTGCCCGGCCCAGGGCTGGCACATACGGGATGCTCAATAAATATGAATTGACCACATGAATGGGAATTACAACACATTCTAAATCAGAGGGGTCTGAATAAATGTGGCTTTGCTGTGCTGTCAGCCAAGAAAATCCTTCCTTCTTTGGGCTTCGAATGTGGCCTTGAAGGGGAGCACTCTTCATTCTTCCATCTCCTTTGCCACAGAGGAAGCAAAGGCTGTCTTCTCCCCTGGCAGAACACGTGACTCTATTCCAGGTGTTAAAACGATTCGCAGGCACCCACAGAAGTGCCCCTAGCCAGATCTGCTGTTGTTTGCAAAGCTCCAGCTGTCACAGGGCCTATGGCAGCCTGGAAGTGGTGTCTGTATCTGGCTTCTCTTAGGGCCTTTGCTGGACTTGACTGGAGGCGCCTATGAATCAGGATTCACCCTTTGGTCTCTGGGACCCTGATTCACCCCTGCATACCCGCCTCCTGTGCTGGTTCATATCTACTCTGAGGGCAGCCCTGACATGGGTCCAGGGGAGAGGACGAGGTGGAGAGCAGGTGGTCAAGTCGCAGCCCAGCTCATGAGGGGCTCACAGGCTGGTGGAGGAGCTACAACTCTCATTGTCGTACTGAGCTGACCTTGTCTCCCCAGCCTGGCTGCAAGCTCCCAGAGGGCAGAGAATATGTCTCTTTGTCTTGGGTGCCTTGGACTTTCTGAGGGGAACTGAAGAGGTCACATGGACTAGCTGGGGCCATCAGTGAGATTATGACCTCCAGACTCACCTCTCAGAGGGCCTGAGGCCCAGGCTCTGCTCCCTGAACCGCTTTCCTAAGGACAAAGGGTCTTCCGGGGTCTTCTTGAGCTCCCTTGCCCGACTCATGCGCTTCCTCCCCAAATGGAAGAAGTTTGCTTGGGTCAAAAATCCTCGAGAGTTACCCAAAATGTGTTTTGGTGTGGTCTAGCAAAACTTCAAAGGAAAAGCCCCAGGGACACAGAACACAGCCTCGAAGGTACCCTCAGACAGGCTCGCTGTGGGGGCCCCAGCGGACCCTTGGTGATGCCCACCGGTGAGCCCCTGGGCGCGTGACTTCAGTCATCTCCCAGCCCCCACTGTAAGATGCCCTCCTCTGTCTACTGACCCCTGGACTTAGGATTGGTTTACAGTTGGATTTGTTGTCTCCAGAGGGGCCAGAAGAGAGGCCGGAGGCCCGGGGGAGACTCCTCCGGGGGTTTCACAAGGCTGCCCTTAGGCTCCCTCTGACGCCTGTCCATCTGTGTGTCCTGGTTGGGGGCGGCATTTGTGGAGGACTGCACGGTCCTCGGGAGCAGAGGAGCAGCAGGAGAACAAGGTCCGTGGATTCCTCTGAGCTACTCCTCTCTGGGCTGCTGTCTGGAGGCCTCAGGAAGCTGCTCCCTGATTGGCCAGGTCTCCTGGAACTTCACGGTGGTTCAGGTGGAGGAAAAGAGCCCTGGCCCAGGATTCAGGAGAGCTGGGCCCTCTGGTTCCAGCTGCATCCCTCCCAGGCTCTTGGGGCTCTATGTCTCTCTCTGTGACAGGAGAAGGGGGCTGGCTTAGGGCCTCTGGGACTCCCCTCACTTCAATCGCCCTGTGAACCTCTGGTTCTCTGGGATATTTCTACTTTATCACCTCCCCTGCTTCTCCTGCTGTGTCCTCTCAAGACAGCTTCCCTCCTCCTTGTTACAGAAGAAAGAGTGGAGTTACTTTTTGGAACCAGACCTGGGTGGAGGGGGTGGAGGGCTCTGATGGCAGGAGCCCCTTGTGGGCCTTCAGGCTCCCGTGTGGGCTCCTCAGAAACCCAAGTCCCCTGTCTGTGTTACCCACCCCACCCCCCTGACTCAGGGTCATGCAGGGTCAAGAGTTCCACGGGTTCTGTTTTGTTCTATTCTGTTTTGGGATGACTGATGTCTGTCTCCGGAAGTCTTTTCTATGCTAAGTGAACACATGTAGTTATTTCTTTTGTTTTTTTTTGTGTGTGTGTGTGAGGAAGATTGGCCCTGAGCTAACATCTGTTGCCAATCTTCCTCTTTTTCCTTGAGGAAGATTATTGCTGAGCTAACATCTGTGCCAATCTTCCTCTATTTTGTGTGGGATGCCACCACAACATGGCGGTGCTAGGTCCGTGCCCAGGATCCGAACCTGCGAACCCTGGGCCACAAAAGCAGAGTGCAAACTTAACCGCTACACCACCGGGTAGGCCCCCACATGTAGTTATTTCTTCACAAGGATGCTGGGTCTTGATATGCAGGATTCTGAGTCTGAAATCTGGCTGGAGTATCTTCTTATTTTGTGACCTTGGACATCTCACTTCGCTTCTGGATTTCTACCTCCTCATTCAGTAATGGAGAGCTCTAACTTTGTGGCTAGATCTTCCTGAGAGTTCAGGGTGTGGGCAAGGGAGAGGGATGACCCAGGAGATGTATAAAGAGCCAGGTGGTCACCCTGAAGGAAGTTAAAATCATTTGCAAAGGAAATGTCATACCTCGTGAACGAACACTGGCGGGGGTTGGGGGGTCAGTACAAGCTGGGGTCTCACTAAGAGATAACTCTTGTGAAGATTAGAGGAAGGTGAGCTGGCAACAACTGACAGTGTTACCCTCCTCCTCCCCAAGCCCAGCTGAGCCCCAGAGGACACCGTGTTCCGCCCACACGCCCCCTCTGATGCTGCAGTTCATTTCATGATGAGCCCCTGAGAACTTGGGGAGGGGTCACGAAGAGTTGCTCCCTGGTTTCCTTGTGCTCTGAGTCAATGGGAGTGCCCGGCAGTGCCTTCTGCGGGATTCCAGGAGAACTTCTTGATAGCACAGTGGTTACTAAATGCTGGAGTCGTGACTGAGAGGAAGAGTAGGATTTCTGAAAAGCTCCTACGCTGGGAGAAAGGTGTTCATTTCTGGCACGGCTCAAGTGTCGCTCCGCCTTGAGACTTTCCCCTGCCCTTCCTACTCCTGAGATTAGGTTGGATTCATTCATTCATTCACTCATTCATTCCTTTACTTAACACACACGTCTGGACTGTCCACCATATGTCCGGCGTTGTGCGAAGGGCTCGGGAAAGGAGAACAAAAGAGAGAGTCTTGGAGAGCAAAAATGCAAGTCTAGCAGAAGGCCTTCTGTGTCCTGCTGGAAAGAATGGATTTTCTGCAACTGGCTTAGGGCCGAGTGTTCCTGTTGGGCTTCTGGGATTCACACCAAGAAGAAATTCATCATATACTTAATTTCCAAGAAAAAGGAAATAAATCACCAAGCAAAACAACACTGTGGACCTTATAAAGCAAACACAACAGGAAGACACTGGGGTTGGGTGGATGAAACGTTCCTCCCAGGCTGCCCGTCTGCTGGGGACGTGGGATCTCTTCTTACACACACAGAGTTTTGGGAGTTTTCCAAGGACGTTTTGGGATTTAGTTTCCTATTCAACTGGATCAATCTTCTCCAGATGTTGGGTAGACCAGATGACCCCTGAGGTCTCCATCTGCTTTAAAATTCAACTATTCAGGGATTTTCGGGATCTGAGCTCAAACTGGAGGATTGTATCAATGTTTAGCATGGGTGATGGGAAACAATTTGTCCTCAGTAGTGACCTGGAAAGGAAGTGGGTTCCTGCTTGGAAGAAAAGTGGCTCTGTGTTCCACACATTTGTGACAAAGCCTTGTGCTGACACTCTTTGTGGCAGGGTAGAATTGCTTCTTGAATGACAGATGGGTCTATTGGATTCATAGCCTGGTGTCTTCATAATCAGGCAGTTTCAATGAAAGGGTGGCCCCGCAACCTGGGCCTTCAAACCCACATTGCACAAAGCTTCTAGCACAGAGCCAGTTGTGTTTGTATAACCTTTGGCAACATATTCTGTCAAACTGGCCTTGGTTTTTCCAGCAGTCGGCTGTGGCTTTGTGTTTCAGCAAGACCAGACCCCGGATCCCCTGAGTATCAGAGTAGAGGTATGGTTCTTAAGCCTTCTTGAGCATCAGAATCTCTTCAGTGCTTTAAATAATTTAGATTACTGGGCTCTACTCCTTCATGTTCATTGCAGCTGGTCTAGGGTTGGGGCAGGAATCTGTGTTTTTAACCACCTCCCTACATGATTTTGATGCCCAGCTTGGGTTGAGAATCAAGGCCTGAAGCCAGCGAGTCTCTAAGTGTAGTGTCCTTGGCAGAGTCCCCACTCCGGGGAGCTTGTTAAACATGCAGACCCCTGGGTCCCTCCCCAGAATGAGAATCTGCGTGGGTAATTTTGATGCACAGTAACAGGGAAGAACTCCTGTGCTAGGCCTTGTCTCTTCCCTGGACCTCCACGAGCCCTGGTGCTTCTGTAAAGAAATCCTTCCCGGGAGTTTATTGGAAGTTCCCTAAGTGAATTCATCCCTCGAGATGTAGGTTGGACCTGCCCCATGTTGGCTGAGATTGGCTTGGGGTGGGGCCTTGAACAGAGAATAAAATATGTTGGTTAAATCATTTACTCTTCCCCCATCTGCCTCCTTTCTCTCTCCCACCCTCTGCCCACATCACCACCCTAAATCCTACAGAATAGAGTCATGGGATAGAGGAGCAGGATAGAGGGCCCCTAGCTTTCTCGTGGGCCAGGGGGACACAGGTCACCTTGGTCAAAGTTTGTCCTGGGCTTTGTCCCCAGCCTCGTCAGCGATCTAAGAGAAGCCAGCTGGACCTTCTCCTGAGGTGATTCACTTCCGTATCTCTGTTCCCTTCAGGACAACCCCACGGACTTGAGTCTTTTCAATTACACGGTGGGTCATGAAGTGCTTACTGTGTACCCAGGCCTGGCTGTGAATACAGAAGTGGGTCGACCTGTACGGAGAGTCTATCCTGATGGGTGGGATTACAACCTGGAGTGAGAATGCTTGGGTTCAGGCCTCACTCTGTCGTTCACTAGCTGTGTGACGTAGGGCAAGTCACTTAACCTCTTTGAACCTCCATGTCCTCATGTTTGTTTACTCACATCTATTCAACCAACAACTGTTTGCTCAGTACTGACTCACAATGGGCTGGACTTGACCGCACGTCATTTCTGAGAGCTGAGTACAGAGTCCAGGATGGACCATGTCAGGAGGACCTGAGGATGAGGCAGAGTTCCTTTAGGGTAGGACAAAGGGACTGGTGTCTACACAGGGGTGCATGTGAGGGCAGTGCTGGTGGGCTGTGGGTTGGCTGGCAGGCCCCCAAAGGCTAGACTGTCTGCCACACTTCAGCAATGCCAAGTTCAAGGGCACCCTAGAACCCACCAGCTCCCACATAGGGTCCTTCAGAGGATACTGATCAAGAGCTCTCTCTGGAGGGAGCCTGGTTGGAGAACGGCGGAGCTAAGTTCTGGTGCTGACCTCACCACTCACTTGCTGTGCATCCTTAGGCAAGCTGCTTCGTTTCTTCCTGCCTCAGTGCTGGGAGCCATAACCTGCCACGGCCTCTCCCCGAGGGAGGCCCTGTGAGGACCCAATAAAAGGGTGCACAGGACACAATGAGAACAGTGTTCTGTGATGTCAGGGCATCGTTGTCCTCTCCACCATCCCCTATGTGGGCTATCTTATGGTCACCCTACATTCTGGCTTGTTTCGGTCCTGGAAGAGAGGACCACCATCTGTAGAACTAATTCATGTTACCCTGGCAACAGACAGGCTGGTCTTTGGAGGGGCTGGCCTGAGGGGTTAGGGATCCTCTGTCAGGACAAGGTGGACAGGAGGCAGGAATAGAGAGCTGAGGCTTCTGCTCTGGTTCCAGAATCTAAAGGTTTTGTTGCCTCTGGTCAGGCCGTTTCACCCATACTTGTTAAACCCCCTACATTTGACAGGGACAAAATCCATATGTTTCCTTTATTCTAACCACACTGCAGTACTGTTATGTAAGGGCTGTGTGGTGTCCAGGAAGCCTCCTGGGGCACAGGGAAAATGAAGTTGCTCACCTCTGAGCCCCTTCTCTCTGCTTTCTTTTCCCATGGCCTCTCAATGGCACTGCGAGCCCCAGTGAGGGAGGGGAGCCTCCTGCTCTGAAATCGAAGGCGTGTGTGCATGTATGCGTGTCTGTGTGTAGGAGGACGTGGGCTTAAAACTCCAAGGTAATGAGCGGACAGAGGGCTCCTTCATCCTTCTCATTACACATGCCAAGCTCAGCAGAAGAGCTCCTGCCCACTCACTCGGCTCCTGCAAGGGCATGGTCTCCTCCAGGGGCCTCCAGTGCCGTGAACTTGGTACCACAGCTCTTGGTCTAGCATGGCTGATGCTTGGCCTTTGGGGAATGGTCATGCCCACCAAAGGCTCAGGGTAATCACTCCGTGCATTTCCCCAGAGCTTCCTGCAGGCTCTCTGAGGTTCCCTTACTCCTTCATCCTGACAACCGCCTGTGAAGGTGCTGGTCTGCCAGGCAGATGAGGAAAGGAAGGCCCAGGGGAGCCGAGGGACTACCTGGAGTGGCCCAGCGAGTGGTGGGCTCTGTCTAGGCCTCCTGACTCCAAGGTGGCCCGTGATGTCCTGGCTAGAAGGACTGGCCTAGTTGGATGTATCCCAGAGAGCAGGTCACTGCCATGGTGTCTGTGGCCATGGATGACCCAGTTGAAAGTGATGTGGGGAAAAGAGAGCACAGAGCTAGGGACATGGAAGGCTTGATAAACACTTGCTGATGCTGAAGATGGGGCTAAGCACCCCAACAGAGGCTCCCCAGGCTCTAGGACAGCATGCCAGTAACCGGCAGAGCAGACATGTGTGTAAATAGTCTCGTATGGTTCTTCCCAGGACTAGATTCTCCCCAGGATCTGGGGAGTGGGAGGCTTGTTATCTGCATCATGGGTCGGGGAGCTGGGCTCAGAGTGTCTCAGTGCCTGGGCACTCGCTCTGCCCCAGCCCTCAGCCCGGTGCCCTTGAGTGCTCCCGGCAGCTGCCTGCTTTCCCAGAAGCAGATGGGCAGTGGCTCCCACAAAGGGCATGTGTGGCGCCTGTGCTCAGTTCCCATGGCAAACTCGAGCCCCTCGTGTTTCTAATTACTCCCAGTGTTCTTTTCTTCCCCCGGTGTGAACACGGCCAGGCAGGGGCATTCTTGTCATCCTGGTCCCCCACCTCCCCTCCCGATCAAGTGTCCCTGTATGGAGCCCTTCTCACAAACAGGAAAACGGGGTCCCAGGCAGTTTGCGCACCAGCCAGGCGGCCTTTGCTATCTTTTAAATTTGTTCTCTTTCAGTTGATTAATTAATCATGTTTTATGGTGGTAAAATACACATAACATAAAATTTACCATGTTAACCATTTTCGGGCACAGTTCAGCAGCATTAAGTACGTTCACATTGTTGGGCAGCCATCCCCACCATCCATCTGCAGGACATTTTCATCTTCCCCAACAGAAACGGTTCCCAATAAACACTAACACCCCGTTCCCCTCCCCCTCAGCCCTTGGCAGCCCCTAGTCTACGTTCTATCTCCACAAGTCTGACGGCTCTAGGAACGCCCTATAAGTGTATTTATGCAATCTTGGTCCTTTTGAATCTGGCTTATCTCACTTAGAATACCGTCTTCGAGGTTCCTCCATGTTGTGCCATGTGTCAGAACTTCCATTCCCAGCTAGGTGGCTTTAAGCCTTCCCTTTTGCTCTAATTCTTTAGTTTTTAAACTTAAAAAAAAAAAAAGCAATGGAATCCTCCCTCAGCTTTTTTCCCTCCCCCAACAAAATCACCCGCAGAGGCCCATAAACAGGCACTCAAAAGTGGAGGGGTTCTAGCCGGTTGGGGGAGAACTGGGGACCCCACACCCTGACTTTGATTTTCCTGGAAACCCTTTCCAGGAGCTCCTGGGCACACAGCTGGCCATCTGCCCCCCAGTGGACTTTCATGTCCCAGAGACGGGGCGATTTGATTGATGGTGGGGCCCTGCACTTGCCCTGAGGGGCCTGGCCTCGTCCATCGCTGCGCTTCCTTCCTGCCTCCTCTGCTTTCCTCCTAAATGTCCTCTTCGTGTCCCTGGGCCTGGCCAGACCCTTCTAACACAGGTGAAGGTCCAGAGAAAGTTAAAAACGCCCTTTGCTGGGGGATTTGGGATTCTTCTTGCAAACCTCCCCCACGCTGGGTTTATCTGCATCTGTCTGATCTTTTCCTGGACCTCGTGGAAGCTCCCTGCCTCCCCTCCCTCCATCCCCCATTCACCTCTATCATCCTCCCAGCTCTCCCTGCCCTGAGCCTTGGGGCTCCTTCCGGGTAAGCTGGCCCCATTCTGTTCTGTTCTCACCGGCCTCATCTATATACCAGCTCCTTTCCCTTTCATGGAAAATTCCTTGCCAGGAGTCTCCATTCTTAGCGCCTGGTGCATAATGAGCGGCTGCACAGGTTTGTGCACGCTGGGGCATTCTACATTTGTCAGACGACACTTGGGTCCTGGCAGTTTTACGCGAAGGCCCAGAGCACGCACAGAATTTCAGACCCCGTCACAGGCAAGGTGGGGCTGATATTTCGGGATGGGAGCCGCACATGGAGGAGAGTGCCTTTTGGGTGTCCCGTGAATCTACGATGGCAGCCACTGACTCACCCAGTGAGTGCCAGGCCCTGGGCTTAGGCCCAGGGAAACAACAAAACAGGCTTAGATCTTGCCCTTGTTGAGACCGTGTGATTCTGTGCAAGTTATTTCATCTCCTTTTGCCTCCTTTTCCTTCTCTGTGAAACGGGATGACAGTAGCCCCTAGGACGAGGACTGAAGGAGATCCAGCGTGTGGAGTGCTTAGAACAGGCCAGCACAGTCAGCACTGGCCACTCTGAGTACCACCGTTTCCCACAGCCGAGGGGCCAACAGGCTCCTCTCTGTACCCACTGTTAGAACCCTGGCTTTTAAACAACAGAACTGTCACGCGTCCTTCTGTCCACTGAAGTCCTTTCTAAAATCAACATGCAGCATGGAGGGAACTGACATCAGTTGGTTAGCTTCTCTGTGCCAAAAGTCTCTGTGAGGTAAGTGTAAGTATGTGCCCACTTTACAGACAAGGAAACAGGTTCAGGTGGTCAAAGAGCGTGTCCAGGACAACACGGTCAGGACATGGTAGAGGCCACTGCCTGGTCCTGGCCTGCCCAGCGTTAAGCTTTGTTCCTAGTGAGGAAAAAGGAGCATAGGCGTGAAGGAAACAGAAGATGCAGCCCCTTGGGGAGATTTTTTTATCAGGGGTTTTTTGAAGCCTCCTGGATGGGACCCCAGACCCTGCCTGTGCACTGAAATATCAGACCAGAATTTGTGGAATGTTGCAAAATTATGGCCCTGTGACTTGGGAAGGAATTACGCCGGAGGCCTCAATTCAGTTCACTGGAAGTTAGTTCAGTGAGCACTGGTTAGGAATGCTTTATCTGCAGGGATTGCGAGACTCAAAGATGCAAACCCCAGCCCTGCCCCTAGGGAGCGTCCGGGCTGCGGGAGGAGGCGGCCTCACACTGGATGGCACTAAGAGAGGTTCTCTGGTCAATGGATTACTTTAAATTGTGAATATATTTCTATGAAAGATCCCAAGAAGGTGTAAAGTGTATCAGATTTAATTCTGTTTTTAGTAAATAGCCTTTAATGAAAAGAATAATGATTCGTGAAACTGAGACTGAATATTTGACACTTACAGTTAATATCAACCCTTTCTCCCTCCTTCCCTCCTTTTCTCCCCCCTTTGCTCTCTTTCCCTCCCTCTTCCCCTTCCACAGGTATTTATTGGAACCTGCTATGTGCTAGACACAAAATGAATAAGGAGCTTTCAGTGAAGTGAGAGAGGCAGGCAAATAAAAGGCAATATCAGACGTAAAACTGCTTCAAAAAAAGTCTATTTTAAAAAAAGGCAATATCGACATTACTCCAAAATGGCTGTGCATGGAGGTGTCACAATAACCCCCAGAAGGGGACTTCACTCAGATATGGGGCCGGGAGCAGCTGGAGGAAGTTTTCTGGGAAGAAGCCATGTGGGAGGGGTGACTAGAAGGACGGCAGTACCTAGGTGAAGGGGTGGAGGTTGAGGGGGGAGCTGGAGAGAGGGTACTAGGTAGACAGCAAAGGATGTATGAAGACTCTATAAACCAAACATATGGAAGGTCAGGGGAGGGTGTAATTAATTTTGCTTGAGGGCAGAGGTTGAAGACAAAGTCTTCAGGGAGGGGCTGGTGTTTGGGGCATTGTGGGATGAGTAGGAGTTTGATAAGCAAAGGTTGAGAGCACTCTGAGCAGAAGGAGTGGCATGAGCCAATAAATGCATGGTATATTTAGGGTGTGATGTTCAGGCCACCATGTCTAGACGAAGGTACAAGAGAATGGGACTTGGCGTGATCAGGCATCCGAGAGGAAGATCTGGGCAGCGGGATTGCTAGGAGGAGATGGTGGGTTGCATGAGGGAGGTGGTGCAGGAATGGAGAGGTGTGGAAGGTTAAAGAGGCATTGGAGAAGAGGGCGGTGGGTCTTGGCAACTGACAAGTGGGAGTAGTTGAGAGATGAAGCCATTGGAAGATGGCCCTGGGTTTGCATTTTAGCGACCTGCTCTGCCACATCCTAATGCAGACTTTATTAACCCTCCAAGGGAGCCCCAGCCATTTATCAATTTGTATCGGGGAGCAAGCTTGAGGGCGTGTGTTCAAAAATGAGATAGGGACCACCACATTCCGATCTCTGCCTGGCTAGCTCTAGTGTACACAGTAATGCACAGTGGTTTCTCCCTGCGCCCATAGTACAAATGAGAAAACTGAGGCTGGGAGGCTGCTGAAGGCCACAGGGCAGTTAGGGTCAGCGCCAGGGCTGGAAGCCAGGTGCCTGGGGCACATCTTCTAGAACGTTCATCCTTGTGGATATACTCTGTGGAAGGGGCAGGGTGAAAAGTGGTGGCCTTTTGCACCTCTTTCTTTATAAATCACACCAAAATTGGATGGGCTTCAGGGAGCTTGGGGGGAAGCTCTGAAGTGTCTTCGCTGCCAAATGTATAACTGCCCCCCCCCCCACCGCCCCATCTCCTAGCGCAGCTCTGATGGCTAAGCAGCTGAAACTAACCACATGTCAAGTGGAGGGATCCTCAGCCCCTTATGGGGCTCACCTGCTCCTAATTAGGGCTGAAGCAAGGAGGGGAGCGGGGCTCCACAAGGCAGCAGCCCACGCCTGGTCCCCAGACTCGCAGGTGTGGGGAGGCAGCGAAGGGAAGGGAAGGCTTTGGGGCCTCATTGCCCCTTCTGGGAGCCCCCAGGCCTCCCACCCCACCCATGATTCTACTCTATGATAAACGGGAGGAGCTGGAAACGCTGTGGTGCTGGCAAGTCTCTCAACCAAGGCAAACACTCCTTACTCCCTTTTGGGGGGCATCCAGTCCAGAGGGTTTTAAGCTCATTGACTCCACTTGTCCCCACTTTGCAAACAGAACCCTCTCCTTGAAACTTACCTTGAAATTTAAGAGAACAAATCCATCTCATAGGGCAGTTTCTTTTCAAGGCTGACACCTCATCCCTGTAGGTTCTGAAAAACCCCTTCCTACTCACTTCCCACAACTCCCACCCATCCCCTCATCCATCTTACAGATAAGGGAATAAGCCCAGAGAGGTTGAGTGGCCTGCCTGAGGTCACACTGTGATTTGGCCTCTGGGCCTGGGCAGCAGCACTGGACCGCTTCTCTTCCCACCAGGCCCCTCATGGCACATTTCCTCCCTTAGGCCGCCTTCTGAATTCCCCTTCCTGCCCAGGGCCCTCGCTGCTAACTACAAAGGTATAGCATCTCCAGGGGTGGCCACAGTCTAGCCAGCCACCCCGGGGAGCTCGTGAGCTTTCTGAACCTAAAGGATGTGACTCAGGACCACAGACAGCGGAAGAGGCACTTGATGCAAAGGGTCCGTTTCCAGTCCCTTCCAGAGATGCTGCCCTGTGGGTACCTGTTCCTGAATTCTAACTGCTGAAGGGGCTGTCCTGCCCCTGGGGTCCTTGGCCCACGGGGAAGTTCCCGCCACCAGCCCCGCTGGCGGACCTCATCTCGAATGGAACTGGAATGTGAGAGAAGAAATGAGGGTCCAAAGGCCAAGGCCGCCTCCTACCCTGAAATTCCTCCTGATCCTTTGGTCTCAAGTTCTCTCCATCAATGAGCTGTGCTGTTGGCTCACTGCAGCTTTTTAAACAACAGCTCACTTCCCCCTTCCCGGCAGCGGGTGGAGTGGAAGAGTCTCGAACCTCTGCCTCCCTGTCCGCCCTGTGCCTCTAGGCTCAGTTTCCTCCTCTATGAAATATGAGAGTGGGGCAGGAGGGTCTCTCCACCACCCTTCAGCTCTCTCACTTGAGGGTTCCCAAGGAAGGGGAGAAGGGAGACGCCACTGACGGGAAGTGTGGGAACCACGAAGAAAATCCCCAGTCCCTGCACATGCGTGCTTTTGCGGGGGTGGGGGGGGGTACCTCTGGGAGGGGCTACGGTCTCAAGGTTCCCCTCATCTCCTCCACCTCTCTCCCATGGCCAGTGTGGCGCTGCCCGGGCTGGGCCTGGAGGTGGGCCCTGGAGGAACATGCGCAGTGGGCTGCCTTCCTTTCTCCCCTGTTGACCTGGGAAGGGGGTGTGCAGGGACATCCACAGGTCTGAAGGAAGCCCTAAAGAACTTGCTTAAGGTTCACTGAGAGGCAAGTGAAAGTAACAGTGACGATGACAACCTCGACGTCAAGACCAATAACAGTAGTAACAGTAATAACCGGCGCTTGCGTGGCTTTTGGGGGAGACCCTACACTGTCCCCAGTGCTTTACCTAAGTGAACTCTGGCCCAGGGGCCTGTCTTTCCTCATGTCCTGAACCTGCTGCCTGAGGGCGACACCGTGCTCACTGCTGGGCACCGGATAGTCTCAGGTTTGGGGAGCTGGGAGCCGGTGACCTCTGAGGTCCCCCAGCTCCCACTATCTGGGATCCTGCAGCTCTGAACCAGCCCGCACGCCCTGGGCTGGATGCTTGTGTGGAGCTCCCCCCCCCCCCACCCCCCCACCCAGCTAAGGGAAAAGAGAGGCTGGAAGGCAAGTGCTGCCCTCCTGGGTCAGGTCCCCCTCACACTCTCCCCTGCCCGCCTCTCCAAGTCTCAGGGGAACCCCAGAGCCAGCCCCATGGTGGAAAAGGAAGGAAAAGGACAGAGGGAGTCTTAGAATGCAAGCCCCAACTGGCTTGGTTTTCTTTATCTCTCAGAAATAAATCCACCGCAGAGAACGTCTTTGACTCCTGGGTTCCTCTGGCTGTGTGTGGGAGTGTGGTGAAGACTTGGGGTGGACACATTACGGGGTCTCAGTCTCCCCATCTGTAAAATGGGGACAATACCATCACTCTGCCCTCCCCGTGGAAGGGGAGAAGGGAAGCAAAGTTGTTCTGAACTGAGGAGGGATTACTGTCACTGCAGCCTGGCTTGGAGATAAGGCCAGGTGCGTCCTCTGTCGTCCGCAGCTGACACCAGGTTTCCATCCTGACTTGCTGTTCTGGCTCTGGTCTCTGAAGAGCCAGGCTCCCCTGTCTCAGGACACGAGGGCAGGCGCAGCCCCAGGAGACAGTTACCTGTGCCCAGGCAGTGCTGTGCTCCTCCGCCTCCTCCCTCCTGCCTGGGCCTTCGTCCCCGCCATCACGGGCGCAGGCTGCCCCTTGCCCAGTGTCCCAAGGCTCATAGCTGCATCAATGTTTGGCCCTCTCAGGGTCTTCCTATTTCCAGAGAGGCCTCCTGGAGGGGAAAAAAACATACTGTAAAATTCTCAGGAACAAAATGCCAGCGGTGGGATTTCCGGGACCCCCACTGGGAAGGTGTTTTTGGAGAGAGGCACTTCTCCCTGGCTCTCTGCCCCAGGGTTCAGCTCAGGCACCAGCAGTGCCTGCCCTCCCCTCAGGCCTCATAGATGAGATGCTCTTCAAGGGCCCTGTGGCCCGCCTTCCAGAGACCCTGGGAGACAGAGCTGTGTGGACGGTGCAGGCTCTCCCCGGTGCCATCTCCGTCTGCAGGGCCGGGTGGCTTTGGGAGGCTTGGTTTTTCAACAAGAGGCTGTGAAGATTTCAAACACAGCAAATTTTGGCATCTGAGCAGCTGGATCCCTGGCAGCATAGATCCCTCCACTGTCTTCCCTTCCTCCTGAGACGGGCAGGCCCCAGGGAGGAAGGGGTCCCCCAGATCTGCAGCTGGGGAGGATCAGGGCAGGACAGGAGCCCACACGGGGCTGGTGCAGTCAGGGCCTCACCCTGAGGGCTGTGTGCAGCTTCAGATTTACCGCAGAGCTCAGAGCCCCAGGCCGGGCCCCTGCCGGGCCTGGGTTTCTGCAAACCTGTAGCTTCCAGAGATGAGATTTTTTTGCCAAGAGGAATTCTTCTCCTTATATGTCATTTAATATTTTAAAATCAATTAATACATTCATCTAGTGTCAGTCTCTTATTTTCCCATTGTTGATTTAGCCTACTGCTGAAGATAAAATCCTGCCGACCCACACTTTCATGTTTTGAGTTTCCAGCTTTCCTAACCATCCTCCATCTATTGTCCATCTCCTTTGATGCCCCGCCGAGGTGTGATTTCCTCTGTGTGCAGGGAAAGAAAGAGAGGATCATGGAGCTTTGGTTTCCCTCCTGGGGAAGCGGCAGTGGAAGTGGACAGAGCCTGAGATGGCTCACTCTCCCTGGCCCCTGGGTCTGGAACCTCAGGCACACTCCAGCCTGCTGGGCCAGCAGGACCAGGTCAAAGATCCACCTCGTACCCTCCTTCCTCTCACCGTGCTAGGCCAAGATCAGGTGGAGGGCCCAGCCCAGGCTGGGATAGGAGCTGGCTGGGCGAGCTGGGCAGGCCAGATGATGGCTGCCCAAGAGGGAGACATGGTTAGACCCCGTCCAGCTGCAGGAGGCGGTCAGCCCAAGACAGAGTCAAAGTCAAATTTTCAAAATGTTGGAAACATTCTCCTACAAATATTTAGTGAGCAAGAGTCAAAGATATTTAAGCCATTAATGAGGGAACCAGCAGAGTGATACACCCAGTTCAAAAGAGGAATAAAAAATATACATACACACACACATCAATGGAAAAAAAGGGATGCTGAAATAAGGTTGCTAAGTTAGATACAAAGCTGATTCACGTTCAACAGAGCAATAAAGCAGTAACCTTTGGTGTTATATTCTCCAGTGGACAAAAGTCATTTGCACTTTATCAGTTTTCTAACGAGAATGTCTAACTTTACAGAGACTGGGCTCTACCAATCGGAAGTAGTAAGTCAAACAAAGTTATATTGCCCTAGAAAGCCCTGTGGCTCTTAGGCAGGACAATGTTCTAATGTGACTTTGAAAGGATGCACAGTCTTCTTTTTGCCTTGTTTCAAAATTTGGGATTTTTTTCTTAACAGCAGGCAGAAGCAGCCAGGAGGTGAAACTGAGGGATTCTAGCCGGAGAGAGCCAAGAGGGAGATGGCACAGCAGGGTGTTTCCCCTCCAAGCCCACTGCCCCCTCCTCTGGCCCTGTCCCACCTACTTGGTCATCCCTCCCTCCATCTAGAACTCCACTCAGGTTGTTAGAGCAACCTGGTCACTTAATGATGGATGTGAGTCCCAGAGAGCTGGGCATGCTAAGTCCTCATCTGGGGCTCCCTGCAGGCGCTCCATCTTCCTGAGGACCTGCAGGTGGGTGTGTATTTGCACATGGGACTCCATTCCTTTTCATCACAGGGACTCTCTCCTTCAGGGCTCTGCCCAGTGCTGGGGCTGGAGAGCCTCTTCCCTCCTGAGACCCCTCTGGCCCCTGTTTTCTATCCTCTCCCAAATCCATTACTCTTTCATTGAATTTTTTTCCATGGACATATACCCCCCCACCCCTGCGACACAGGCCCACACATAACACCCCCATAAAAGCAAACCCACTCCCTCAGATGCTCTGTGAAGCAGCACCTCTTCCCAGTAGAAAGGGGGCCGTCCCTACCTTCCACTTCTTCCCCCCTGGACCAAGGCCAGTCCATTCTGCACCTTTGCATGAGTTAGTGGTTTTCCTTCCCCCCTGTGGATGCCACCAGAGCCAGGGCTCACGCATCCCAGTGCCCTGCTTCAGCCCCACCACTCCCTTGCAGGACATCTTTGTGCCCGGCACAGATAGCACATTTATGTAGAGTGGCCCCATTCCCTCCCCATCAGAGATTTCCAGAGTCACCTCCAAGGCTCCCTTCAACCTCTTGGTTGGCAAACTTTTGAAGTCCCCATGGGAGAGAGCCCAACCAGTACTGTCACGTGTTCTCTTAGATCCTGCTCACCATGCTGGTGCTGCCTCCTGTCTCCTGGGTTGGAGAATATTGTTCTCCAGGCAATGTGGTGTCAGGGGCCAGGAGAAACCCACCCACCCTACTAATTACAGGGCTGCCTTCTGGGCCCTAAGTCAAACTGCACAGAAATGAGAGTTACATTGTAGATTCTCTTGGGAGATTAGGTGTAAGTGACTGATGACAAATTGTCCTGTCTGGAGGGTTCTGGGCACTAGGAAGACTCTGTGTGTGTGTGTGCACGCGCACGCGTGTGTACACATTCAGGGTGAGGTTCTGAAGAGGAAGGCGATGCACAAGTGTGTTGAGGCTGAGACTGGGAGTTTCCATGTTGGCTCTGCTGACTCTGGTGTACAGACAACAGCCTCTGGAGCCCCTAAGTTCCCCAGATTCTGCTGACAGGCTGAAGGAGGAACTAGTCCTGTTTTAAAATGCACAGAGAGAAAATCTAAATACAAGCCCCACAGCCCCTCATCTGGAAGTGTCAGCTCTCACCCCCTGGAGTGTGAGCTGAGCGCTCACCACCTCCTCCCAGAGCTCTCTGCCACTCCCCCCTCCCCTGGGGCTCCGCTCCTGCAGTTTTGGCTGGACCCTTTGGTGGTAATTAATTAATAAATCAGTCTTTGCCTCCCTCTTGGAAAAGTGATTTTCTTCCCTCTATAGGTGATGTGTTTCAGTTCAACCCAGCGAGGTGTCTGGGGCCGGAGGAGCTGCTTTTGTTAATACATGCCAAGAAGATGGTAATGTTGTCCCCATAAAGTGAGGGGACAGGGCTACCTGACCTCCTGGTGGTGTCTGCCAGCCCTGACACTCTGACCGCATGTCCACAGGGAGGAACTTCCAGGCCATCTGGGCCTCGCTCTTAGTCGTTTTGCCAAAAGGAGATATTAGTGTCCCCCCACAGCTTCATCGGGGCTTGGCAGCAAATGCCTTGGCCCATTGGTTCAGGGGGGTTGTTCTCATGCTTGAGAAGGGAATGGCTACCCATGGCACCAGAGTTTATCCTCTCCTGGCTGTCTCAGTGCTGGTGAAACAGGCTGAATGAAATTCTTTCCCATCCTTGTACAAGGATCCGTAGACTCTGACACTCTGGCTACTCTTTAATCATCAGCATTGTCATCATCATCACCATCACATCTGGCATTTGTATAATCTGATGGTTTACCAAGTACCACCACATATGTAGTCATCCTATTTGAGGCACAAACTCTCGCTATGATGGAGTTGTGGCAGATATAACCATCATTGTTTGATAGGAAGCGGTGGCTCAGAGGAGTTAATATCAATTTTCTTCTAAGGCCAGTAAGTACTGGGGCCAGAACCAGAATCCAGGTCTCTTTCTAAGGTATCTTATGTCTTGACCCCAGATCCATCCATCCAACTATCCATCCATTCATCTTTCCAACCAACCATCTATCCCTTCATCCCCCATCGATCCATTCATCCTTCCAACCAACCATTTATCCATTCATCCCCCATCCAACAGATAATTACTAAAAGCCTATCTCATGCCAAGCATGTAGGAGGGGTAGAGTATGAGCAAAAACAACCTGTTCTCTGACCCCAGGAGCTGTCAGTCAAGTGGGGATTCTCTTCTCTGTAGAATGAAAGAGGCAAAATGTGGAGAGGGAGCCTGGACATGAGGTTCTCGGAGGAACATTTTGTTTTCTCTTCCCACCATTTCCTCTTTCCTTCTGCCCACAGCAGAATGGATTTAGGTCATTTTGGGAGCCCTCCACCTTCGGATTTCTAGAACTTTGTTATGGCGAGAGGACTTGGGTGGTAGAAGAGCAGCTAAGCACCAGCTGAAGGCAGGGGGGCACTGCTGGGCGCCGGTGCTGACCGGGAACTTTGCAAACACGTCTCATCTGATCCATCCCTCACGACCTCCCCAAGGGGATGCGTAGTGAGGGGATCCGGGACAGTGGGCCAGGTCAGGGAAGCAGTGATTTCTGGCGATCTCATGGCAGTGATATCCTAATGTGCCTTGTTAGTCCAGGGCCCTGGTCTGGCCGGCTCAGTAGACAAGTTTCTTGATGACCTGTGGTCCTCAATTTCAGCGTCCAGCTGAGTGGGCATGCAGGGTGGGGTCTTACATTAAGTCCCCCACCCTGTAGTTCCCATGCAGTGCTCCAGGGGCCACCCTGAAGTCAGGAAAGCAGCTTTTCCTCGGGACAGTGGAGGCCTTTGGGAGCAAGTCTAGTATCACAACAACACTTAGCTGTGGGGACAGGGCGTTTGTACAGAACTTGCAGTATTCCAGGATTTGTACTGGAGAAACTTGTCCAAACTTTGGTGCCCGAGTCCCCTCAAGGCTGTGCAAAACATGGGCACTCCTGTGCTTCCAACTCCATCTGAATGCAGGTCTGGGAGGTGGAAGGTGAGGAAGCCTCACTAGACCGGAGGAGGTCTGGAGCTGAGCCAGGAGGTCAACTGAGGGGTGTGAGGGCCCACTGAGTGGGAACAGACAGAAACCCCAGGTGGCTTCCGTTGTGGAAGCAAAGGCCAAGACGGGGGAGGATTCCAGTATCTGCCATTGAGGACTTCTGAAATCTCAGGGTTCTGTCACCCAAAAGCAGACTCTTGAAGCAGAAGGTGACCTTAGGGGTAACCTAGTGACAGGGACCACCAATGTGGGGCATGCAGGCTGCCCGCCTGGCTCCTGGGATGGGGGCAGACATACTTAATCGACCTTGGCAGCTTCTCCCCCAAGCCTAGAGTTCTCATACAGTACCGCAGGCCAGGATGTTCCAAGATTCAAGCTGGCACATGAGTTCCACACAAGTCTCTTTGCCAATCCCGACCTAGATGAACTTCCCCATCTGACACATGAAGAATATGAGGCCGAGAGAGGGAGAGCAGCTCACTCAATGGTTATTTAGAATCATGGCTGGGAAGTGAAAGAAGGTAGCTGCGTAGTAAGTTGGTGTTGTCAAGGGATGCTGGCCAGGTACGTTTGAGAAATCCTGTATGTAATATCCCCTCTCTCTGGAAAATTCACCACTCGCAGAGTATTTTACAGGCTTGGAACTTTTTTAACCCGCAGCTTCGTAAATGCATTTGGTCCTGGGACCCTTTCTTGCTGTAGAAGCTGTTCAATCCTGCAAGACGATTTGTTCCTGAAACACATGCTGGGGCCTGCAGGTTGAGCAGAAACAGATTAGGCAGCAAGACACCGGTGCACTTTTTTCAGGTCTTTCCCGGCCATGATCAAGGGCACGGGAGGCGCATGAGGTCGGCGCTAAATAAAGCTGTCCTCAGTCTGGGTCTGCGGCCTGGTTGATTTGTGGCTTCTTTTTGCCCTGGTGGTTTAGGCTTCGCAGGTCAGGGCGTGGGCTGTGTGCATGCGGCGTGGTTACGGGCCTGCTCACCAAGCCTGGTCAACAAGGAAAAGTGGCTCTTTTGGAAGGTGGTTTTAGGATAAACTAAAGAAAGTTCCATTTTCCAGAGTGAGAAGTAAACCTGGAGAACTCCAAGAGACGTGTTTGTGTGGAGAGGTGGGTGTGAGTGAAAATTTAACACCCCACTTAGGGGCAGTCAAAAACAGATCTAAGAACACAGAGGCTTAAAAAAAAAAAAGACATGAAACACTAAAATAGCTATCATGGCGCTCGCGTGCTTAACTCTGGGGCAGTTTCTTGGATTTCTTTCATAGTTTATCCACTCTTAGTTTACAAAGAGTTCTACCGATGGTGACGCTCAGTCCACAACAGATTGGAAATACCCAGTTGGAAGCAAGAGGACAGGCTCGGGGACAACAGAAATGGTAACTGAGAGGAATGGGTCCATAATCGTCCTATATCACGACTCACCATTAGGTCATTCTGACCACAGGGAAACAGGGAAGGGTACATCGTATTTAGTCACTGTTTAAGGAGCCAGGAAAGTAAGTGTGTGAGCGCTTGGGGAAGGTTTCCTTGTTAAACTATGGAGGCCAAGTGGGTACGTTTCTGTTCTGCGGAAAATTCACTCAAGTGAATCTTTCCCAACCGTGCTGATAAACGAAACTTCACAGTAAGTTCTAAATGCTCTAGATAAATTCCCCTGGGACACACACATAATATGTTATAGGAAGCAAAGTGTGTTGGAGTCATCTGGTTCAAGAGCTTCGTTTTGTAGGCACCAAAAGGGAGGTGGAGTGGAGGGAGCCACCCGGCTAGAGGCCCACAGCTGGTGGAGGTAGGGACAGTTTCCCGGTGCTGGTCCAGCATTTGCTCTCATCAAGGCAACCATGGGGGCTGGATTATTACACACCCTGAAGCCCCTGCAGACATAGACTTCCAGATGGCAAGGACTTGGCCCCATGCAGGGCCTTTCTTGGGTCCTCTTTATGATTCAAACTCTATTCAAACCAGAGCAGCTCTCTCCGAAAAACAAAATGACCACTTTTAACCAGTGACCACTCTGTTCCCCTCTTCTCTCCGGGGTCTTCAGAAAGCACTCTGGCTTCCCTGCCCTCTGCTGAACTTCTTGTGTTGTCCTTTCTCTGCTCCTGCTTCTACCCGACTCTCTGTGCCTCCTCTTGCTGGGGTGGGTCAGGCTGGTCAAGTCTGGGTGGGCACTGGGTTGATTCCTGCTTCGACCCTCACCCAGAATGTCTGGCTCCTCCTTCCCATCACTGTCTAAATCTCCCCTGTCTTTCTTAGCCACAATTAAGCCCCCCACAGCCTTCCCTAATATTTCCAGACCCTCTGACTCTTTCCTCTTCCTGCCTCCCACCCTGGGGGGGTGGAGCTGCCACGGGAATGGGGCATTGTGGGAGATTAAGCCAAGATAAGTGTCTTAGGAAACTGACTCCATCAGCCATCGCTGGTCTGACAGCAAATGACAGTGGTTAGAGATGGGACCCTGCCTCTGTGTCCTCAGGTGGTGTGGCTGGTTTCATAGAAGCACTGGCATATGTGTTCTATTTTCAGTGGAACTTGAATTTAAAGCTTGTGGATTTTAGGCTTTCTGTGAAACGAAACACTAACCCTTCTCTGAGTGATGGAAATAGGCCAGTTCCATCTGTTTTTTTTTCCTATAGGACAATGAGTCGATCAGCCCCCATTCATAAGCACTTACATGTGGAATATAAGACTAAGGAGAGATGAAGGAAATGTGGGAGAACCGGGACTCAGAGTTCCAGACGGGCTCCGCTCAGGTTTCTGTGGCGCCACTTCTGAGCTGGGTGCCCTTGGTGTTGGTAGTTAATTTCCCTCATCTGTAAAACAGGGATGTGAATGCCTCACAGGGTATGATGATCAAAAGAGATGGTGAATATAAATCATTTAGGAGGCACTCAGTGAAAAGGAGTGATTATTCTATTAAAGGAGATTTTTATTGACTTGCACCTCCACCATTGGTAAGAAAGTGGTCGCTGAAATTCTTGAAATACCTCGCATTTCATAATGGTCTGAGAGTGTGACAGACTGAGTTTGGATTGGGCTCTGCTTTTGCCAGCTGGGTGGCTGAGGATGAGATTTCCTGCCTCACAGGGCTGAGGACAAAATGGCGCCAGTCATGGCTCCATAAATGGGGGCCACCACTTCTTTCTTCATTATTTAGAGTTTACTGTTCACCGAGCACATCCTCCTGGGCTGTATTTCACATGAGTTATCTTGCTTAGTCTTGAAGCGGGAGACTGGGATTCTAGACCCAGTGTCTTCACTCGCAGCGTGTGACCTGGAGCATGTTCTTTAACAGCTCTGCGCTCTGTCAGGTGGGAATGGCGCTGTGGCTCTTTCAGGAGACCGTTGGGAGAATTAAAGGTGAGGCTCAGGGCACCTAGCACGGTGCCTGGCTCACTGCATGCTCCCAGTTCAAGGTGGAAGTGACAACACTGATGTTATTGCCATTACTCCACACTTGGAGTCCTCATTTCTCACGTGTGTTGGACCCACTGCTTCCTAACTGTGCTCTGGGGGAACCTGGGGCTCCTGGGGGCCTCCTGGGGCAGGCCCTGGTGGGGGCAGGGGTGGTTGGCACAGCCAATTCTCCCAACTTTCCTTCAACCTGAGCTGTTCTGCTTGGTCTGTTGACATGTTAAAATATGTTTGCACACCCCTGACTAATGGTCACCCAGGCACTTTCTAGGCTAAGTGCTATAAAGAGCTTGGGACATGTTGATCTCCAGATTATGTCCTCTCTTCATCCCCTCTTCCTAAGCCTGCCCCTCACCCCCACACCACACACATACACACACCATACAATATACATACTATACACACACTCTTCACACACCACACACACAGCCCCCCCCCCCCACTCATTCCCACCCCCCAGCTCTTTCCCTGCTCAGCCCCTCACCTTACCGGGCCTTCATCTTCAGCCTGCCTCTTCCCCAAAGACACTTGGCTTACTCCAGCCCATGTCAACCCCTCTCCTTCTGAATGCTCAGTGGAGCATTTGATGGGATTCAGCTGGGGGCTCCTTGCTGTGTACAATGGTCCTGTGTGTGTCCCCCCGTAAGCTCCTTTAGGCTAAGGCCATTGGTGCCCTCCTTTGGTCACTTATTGACCATACTTGGTGAGAGTGGATGATGCTCAGAGCATTTTTTTGTTCGCCAGCTCTTGAGAGCCACACTGGAATCTGTGAAGCTCCCTGTGGCCAGTGTCCCTATCCTGCTAGACCTGTGAACAGAGACTGAGCAGAAGTTCCTTGAGGGAGCCCACGTGTGGGGTGATGGATCAGTGCATGGAGGAGGGCCCAGAGAGTGAGGTCAGCGCCCACCTCACACCTGGTCGTGACGTTGTCACTGGCCTCTTCACTCTCTGTGCCCCCTTCTGAGGGCCAGGGCCCTCAATTCAGCACTCTGCTGTGCCTCTGCCAGGTACCCAGCTCCAGAGTGGGCCTATGTGGAGAACAGACACGCAGTGCCTGCATGGAGGAGGGCAGCGAGCCTCCATGGAGCCGGACTGCAGAGAGACTCATGGTCCTGGCCTTTAAGGAGTGACTCCTGGTCATTTTCCCTCTGGGTCCAGCCCCAGGAACCAAAGGAACGCCATGAAGAAGTTTGGAGGGAAATCAGAGCCCCTGAGGCAGCCTCCTCACACCATGGGCACAGAGACTCAGGAGCCCAGGGACTCACTCCCCACCGCAAGGCCACTTGGTGCAAGATGAGCACTCTCCAACGTGGGCAGCCGCGGCCTGCTGTACTGGCTTCACAAATTTAGATTTTTCAGGGGTCGGATTTGCTTAAATCATGGCTCTGTATTTAAAAGCAGCACAAAGACAGGGCACTGTGTTAAGAATTCTATTCGTCAAGAGGATATGCCCACTAGTTTCATCCTGACAACATGTGGTTAAGTTTAAGGATAGCTTCGCAGTGTGAATCGTCCCAGCCTTGTTCTGGGCTGGTGGAGGACGGTCCCCAGGTGAGAGGGCTGTGCCAGGTCCTTGGGCAATTTGGCCGGGCCGCATCTGATCAGGCGATATCCTCAATCCAATCCAAGCAGGCAGAGCTTGCCTTAGGTGTCCCAACCTTTCCTTTTAGCTTCCTACTGCCCTTGCAGGGTGCACACTCTGCTGCAAACCAGACTCTCATTAATTTCCTCCCTCAAGAATCTTCTTTTCACTTAGGTGCAAGTGACTAGGGATGGCGAGACAGATAGGGAGCTTCCTGCAGAGGGACAGACTTTAAACAGGATGAAAACATGAACCTAAAGTGATCAAGCGTATGCCCTGATTTCACATAGAAGCATAATCTTCCTGGAGCACAAGCAAGACACAGCAAGAGTTGTGTCTGAGGCCCTGCACCAGCTCACTACCCAAGACTGAGGGAGCTCCCTCCTTCCAGCCTGCCAGGTGTCCCTGCCATTGGATTGTTCACTCCTGGAAAGGCCATGCCTCTCCCCCGCCCTTCCAAACAGTCCACTGGCTGACATCCAAGTGATCCTCGGGGACTTTGCTTCTGAGGGTCATGAGTCTCCATCCTCCCCCGCCACTCACTTTCATTCAGCTCTCAGCTTGGCTCTGCTCACACAGCTACAGCGGAGGAGGTTTCCGCTGAGACCACATTGATCAAATGGAAGGCAGTTTGAAGTATATTCTTAACAAACTACCCTGGTGGTTTTTTCCCACTTAACTTCTCATTTGGGTTGAATAGGTCCCTGCATACCCCACCCCAAGTCAGACAAGCAGGAAATCCAGAGAGGCAGAGCCTTGCCTCATGTCCCTAGCACCATGCAGGGACAACCGTGGACCCTAATAATGGCCCCAAGGTTGTTTCCGTAGGGGCTTCCCTCCAAATGTGCTGTAAATCCCACATAAAGCCTCATTTAGCTTATGGAGAAGGCTACCTTTGGGCCACAGAATCTTAGCTGCCACCCGCCTGTTGGGATTCAAGCTGATACCCCAAACCAGTCCAGACCAGCTGGACTCCCATTTTGTGGACCTATAGAGTGGATGGACTCAAAGGTGCAAGGTGGGCCAGCTATTATCAACAGCCAGTCGGTATTGCTGCTTTTCCCTGAACCTCCCAGGAAGGGTGCAGAGGTCCTTGAGCCCTGCTTTTCCAGAGGACTATGTGACCATCTTTTTTTTTTTTTTGAGGAAGATTAGCCCTGAGCTAACGTCTGCTGCCAATCCTCCTCTTTTTGCTGAGGAACACTGGCCCTGAGCTAACATCTGTGCCCATCTTCCTCTGCTTTCTATGTGGGATGCCTACCACAGCATGGCTTGCCAAGCGGTGCCATGTCCACACCCGGGATTCGAACTAGTGAACCCTGGGCCGCCGAAGTGGAACGTGAGCACTTAACTGCTGCACCACCGGGCCGGTCCCTATGTGACCATCTTCACTGCTGCTTGCTGAGTGCCAGGGACTAAGACCAGAGGCCTCAGGGTTTCCCCACTTTGGCACTATTGACATTTTGGGCTGGATAATTCTTTATTTTGGGGGCTATCTTGTGCGTTGTAAGATGTTTACCAGCACCCCTGGCCTCTCCTACTAAATGCCAGTAGCAGCACCTCTATCCCCCCCATGCACTCCCCTGCTTTGTAACAACCAGAAATGTCCCCAGATATTGCCAAATGTCCCCTGAGGGCCTAAGTCACCCCCATGTGAGAATTGCTGCTTTCCATATATCATCAGACATAATCCTCAGAGCAGCCCTTTGAGGAGCCAACTTTTATCATCAGCTCCCGTTTACAGAGGAATTGCCAAAGCTGAGTGAGTTAAGTAACTTATCTGTGGTTGGTAAATGGCAGAGCTGGGACTCAATCCTAAGTGTGTCTGGCACAAAGTGCATGATTTTAACCAAGATTCCTGCTACAGGGGATGAGGTCTTGTTCACTCCCTGGAGCCCCCAGGAGCCCAGGATCTCAGCTAGTGTTCAGCTGGGAAAATGCCCAAGCCTGAGTTTGGGAGACATGAGCTGGTAGGTGGTGTTCCATGCAAGGGTCCCAAGTATGAATTCTCTTGCTGCAGAGGCTTTCCAGGGCCAAGGGAGATGAGAAGAAGTGTCAATATCTAGTGCCACCATCATGCTGCATATGAAGTCACCCAACACCCAGTGGCTGAGACCCTGAATCATTTATGATGGCTCACGATTCTCTGGGAAATGTGAACAGTTCTTCTGGCCTCGTGTGGGCTCAGCAGGGCTCCCTCATGCCTGTGCAGAATTCTGCTCTTGGCTGGGTTCTCTCACCTATCTGCGGTTTTGGCTGGGACAATTGGGCTACCTCTGCTTAGTTCTATGTGGTCTCATCACCCGGCAGGTTAGCTCGAGCTTGCTCCCATGGTGAAGCAGGAATAGGAGAGAGAGAAACAGAGAGAAAACGTGCAAGACTCTCTGCGGCCTCGGCTTGGAACTGGAACAATCCCACGTGCCTCATTCTGTTGGCTAGGACCAGTCACAGAGCCAGCCTAGATGCAAGGTGGGGAAATATTCTGCCTCTTGATGGAAGTGGCTGCAAAGTCATTGCAGGGATGTGGAGACAGGGAGGGGGCAACCGAGGCCCTTTTTGTATTTCTTCTCTCACAGTACTCATCTGGCCTTGGCTCAGCCACTGGAAGCCCAGGCCCGGTCAGTGAGACGGGAAAAGGGAATGTTAGCAGGTTCAGGCTTCTGTAGAGAAATTCGACCTGCCTGGATGCAGAGTGGGTCTCCTCTCACCTCTCAGGATGGTGAGCTCCTTGAGAATGTGGACTTTGTTCTCCCCTTCATCCTAAGAACCTGGGATGTGCCTGGCACGCAGTAGGTTCTCAGCTAATAGTTGGTAAATATGAAATTAATTCAATTAGTTCACCTCAACTCAATTCCATGTCACTTGATTTCAGTGGCCTTTGTTACATACCTATTGTCTATTGAGCTCATTCTGACTTTATCCAGGAGAGTCAGAAGACTGTTTGGTTCTCAGCCTGGCTGTCAGGATCGTGAATCAAAGGTCGGGCATGAGTGATGGACCACTTCAGAGAAGGGACCTAGACAGCCTTGGTAGCGCTGGCCTTGCAAACCACACCCATTTCGTGACAGCCTGGGCCATCCAAGGTAGGGTGTGGCAGAGGCCTGGGGCTCTGGAAACTCTTCCCCAGTTCTTGGCACCATGTGAGTTGGGTGGATTTTCTGCTGATTTTCCAAATGGCTCCATTTAGCCAGCTCCAGTGGGTGTCCCGGCAGCCTGCTGGCCTTCCTTTTCCTTTGAAAGCCTGAGAGCTCTGGAAGGGAAATCTGAGACCATGCTTGAGATTCACCACAATGCTGTCTGTGTCAGAACGGCTGGGATGGGAGAAGCCTTCCAAAGCCCCAGATTCTTAGAAGCAGGAAGCTGCTTTCTGCCAGGAGTCAGCAAGGTTCACTTCCCCTGGGTAGGCCTGGAGTCCAGGCTTCATGTTGGCCCAGGGGGCCTGTGACTGAGGCCTCCCTTCTTCCTGCTCTCCAGTTTGGAGGAGGAGGGAAGGACCTTAATGAGATGTCATTCCTCTCTCTCATCTCCACCTTCAGCCTTTCCCAGGGTCAGGAGTGAGCCTGAGGGTGGGGTTCCTTCTAAATCAGGAAATATCAGATGAATGTGCGTGGTTTCTCTGAGGGCAGAGATCATTAATATCAGTCACTTAGGGCAGAGCATATGCAGTGTGTGTGAGTTTGTGTGTGCGTTGGGGGGGGCGTCACGGGAAGCTGGGAGGATGTGCGTGTGTGTGGTGTGTGTGTGGTCATGGGGAGGTGGCAGGGTGGGAGGAAGGAGGCAGGCAGAAGGAAAAGCAAATACCAGGAGACCAGGTGTTGCACATCAA